TATTATATATATAATAATATATTAATATTATTTGGAATTAGAGGCACATTCTAGCTTGATTGAATTTTTTTATTATGCATGAAAATTTAAATCAGATTGGAAATTCTTAAATTTAGCAGTTTCTAATTTTTATATATTTTGATTTAAGGATCGACAAGAGTTATAGAGATCTCTGTCAGAGACAATTTCTTTATGCTAAAATTATGAATATATAAAATACTGAGAAAAACTGCAATGTTTGTAATCAAGAAAGTCATCTAAAGGCTTACACGGCTTATATAGTTTCTTTGCTGAAAAAAAGTAGTTAAAATAAAAATTCATTTTCTTACTCGATCTGTACTGTAAATATAGTTTATTGAGGTGTAGATAATTTTATTTATTATAATGTTTTTTGAGAACTTAAATTGCAAAATCCGACTCTGTACACGCTTTCGTTTTATAAAAAGAGAAACTGAAAAGATCTCATGACGGTCAATGCTACTTCTAAGAGAGAAAATATCAGTATGAAGACGTGCATCACGTCTCATGCAAGGAGCAGATTATTTTAATTATTATATAATACTTTTAAGAACAAAATGGCAAAATCTTGCTCTTAGCAGACTTCGTAACTCGTAAAACATATCTAAGTAAAAAAGAGTTTCATGACAAAATATTATTTATTCTATGCTACAATATATGATGTAGTGCAGATATGCGTAACAAGCTGATGTTATTTGACATTTTAACATCAAAATAACATCAACTTATTATCTGAGGATGTATAATACATATTATCTATATCTATATCTATAAAAGGTATACGTAAGTTGGCTCTTGTCGACCCTTAAATTATATTCTTACCATGGTAATTGAACGGTCAAGGCTTCTGGGCAATCTAGACTACATGAAGGGCAGGATGCTTCTTTAGGAATCCTTCGAAACGATCCGCAAGCTAAGATTACGCTCACAGACAAATAAAATAACAAATAGCGACAAGAAGAAATTTGTCTCGACATACTTAAAAGATTCGAATAAAGAAATCCTGACGATTCTTTATAAACTCGCATGTTAGGGATGCAGCGAGGACACACGGTGCTGAGTACAAAAATGTTTTCTATGTTGCATCAATCGCTTCCTGTATACATCCGTTAATTTTTAAGTGAATTGTTTGCTTATTTCTTTTTCAATTTCTTAATATTCATTTCCTTTTATTCTTTAATCTTTAGGCAAGAAAGAGGTGACGACATAATATCGCAGAAGTCTTTGGATGTGGTGAAAATACTTATACATTTTTTAAAAGAGCGTAAGTCTATTTCAAAATGTTTTTGTAAACTGTTGAATTTTGATGTTAAAATTCATTTTATAAAAATGAGTTTTTACATATAAGAAATTCGATATTATTGTGAAAAATCATGGTATTATTTTTTTAAAAAGATTATTTTAAGCTTAGAAAGCCTATCCCGGTAAAAAATTTTTTATGTGTTATGTGTGTGTGTGTGTGTGTGTGTGTGTGTGTGTGTGTGTGTGTGTGTGTGTGTGTGTGTGTGGTGTGTAAACACATATAAATGTGTATAAATA